CGCCCAGAAACCCCGGCCATCGATTATCGAGTGTCCCAAATTAATATCTACACAAATAGAAAATTTATTATCTACATGTTACGTTTGGACAACTCGTGCAGTTTCAGACGATGGAATGAGCGGACAGATTTTGCACGAACAATTGGCACATCGAATCACATTTCGCCGGCATATTTCACTTTCACTTGCACCGAACAAATAAAAGCAATTGCTCGAGAGAAGCGATCTCTTTTACCTCGGCGCATAGATTCTCCTCTCGCGTAAAAATTCTCTCGAAGAGAGAGAGAGAGAGAGAGATTTGCAGGTGAGTCTCTCGTACGACGATTGCAACGGCGACCGTGATACCGGCTTAAGATTGGCCCGCGTTCGATTGTGCAACTGTCGACCGAGAATAGTTCATAAGTACGGGAGCAAGGTACGGAGAAGCGCCGTCAGGCATCATAATAAGCACCGTTCGAGTCGTCGTTTTCACGGTCCAGCGGCGTGCTGAACTAAAGTGGACAACCCGTTGAAAGCTACGGTACTATTTGCCGCTCGTTTTGACCGCACGCGGCGTTTAGGAAAGGTCCGCCGACTTGTCCGCAGTTGCGCAGCGAAGTCGTCGTATCGCGACCTGAAATCCGAGCCGGATTTTAGCAATTGCTACTCGCAGAACCGGCGGTAACTCATACGTGGTCAAGAGAGCAAGACGAAGAAAGAGACGCAGAGTGTTCGAAAAGGTCGTTAACGACGGTGCGGGATACATGGATACATTCCCTCTGAATTCGATTCGACTATCCGATGATTATGCTGTGTCATCATTATTAAGCTACTCTGACATTCTTAAGGGGAGATATACACCTAGATGGTCGAAAAAATCGATTTTTTTCTGCATTTCCTTGAAGTTTGAGGTCATTAGAATATCAGGTAAAAACGGTAAAGTAGTATTTCGATAAATAAGCCAGTTACGGACGAGACGGTGAAACGTGTTTTACAGCGCCGAGCCGACAGGCGACAGGCAGGTAACGGCAAGTGACCCTTCGAACAAAAGGCGAAGACTTATTTTGTGATTCAATTGTTTGTGTTTTTGGGCATACTAGGCAGGTGTAGCATGCTTGGCTCCAGGTATAACGGAAATATCAGATGGCTGTTATTCATTGCCAGAAGTAGACACGTTTTCAGTAGCTTGTTGTTCGTGCAATTGTGCGTTTTAGTGAATTTTCGTTAGTGAACAAATATTGAGAGAAAAATGGATACAAAAAATAAAGGTTCTCGAGAAGCTCATCAATCCGGATCTTTTCGCAAGGATCGAAGTAAAAAANCTCAGCATCATTTCTGTCCAGAAGGCCCCGAATCGTGGTGCAAGTGGCAACAAGCGAAAACTACAGATAAACTGAAAAATTTCCGTCACGATTATGCTGCATTGCCAAAAGAGGTGTTAGATGTCATTAAACCAATATACGAAGACCTCAGCAATGACAAATTGTTAGAACGCTGTGTTGGCGGATATACCCAAAACTCCAATGAGAGCTTCAACCAACTGATTTGGAAGATAGCTCCAAAAACGATGAACAGCGGGGCCGAAATCGTTAACATTGCTGTATTTCTAGCAACATGCATGTTCAACAATGGTGTCACCTCATTATTGGAAATTATGAACGTGTTGGGAATATCAGTTGGTTCAGGAGCACACTTGTACGCTGCAGAAGAAGACGAAACTCGCATTGCGAAAGCCGAGCTGCAAGCGCAAGAGCAGACAAAAGAAGGTCGAATACGGCGCCGACAACAAAATTTAGAAGAAATGAACATTCCGTTGACCGAGGAAGACCTACACTATGGGCCTGGTATCGATGATTCCATGTAAGTTGACAAATTTCATGATTAATTCATTCCCAAATTTTCAAACGCGTTTTTCTCAAAACCACGTTTTTTAAATCGGTACCCAAAATTTCTCGAAAACCAATGAACCGATTGCCTTGAGGTTTTTTTTGGTTATTCTATACACAATTATCTAGTACTTGTCATAGGATTTTTTTTTCCGTTACTTAGTTTTTGTTTTATAGGCAAAGTAATAATTAATTTTTGGCTCAAAAATCACCCTTTATGTTCAGACGTTCGCCATTTTGTCATAAATTGATATTTTCAAAATCGCCTATGACAAATACTAGATTATAATATCTATTTTAATAATCTTTTTGGTTTTTTTCTTTTCAGATGATTTTTGAAGAAACGCCAGTGAGTACCGTGTTTTTACAGTGCTTCAAGTATCATCCAATATCCTTGTAAATTTTTGCTATTTTTAACTAAAAAAAAATAAATATATTTTTTAATGTATATACTTTTAGATAATTAAAACCCCAATCCGAAATTTCAAATAGTTTTCCTTGAAAAAATTCACAAAAAATGATCTTTTTTCCGGCTTCTAGGTGTATATCTCCCCTTAAGGATGATTTGCGCCTACTTAGACGACTTATAGACTAATAAAATTCTGCATTGACGATATTAGCACTTTTTAACCTCTTTTGAACTTTTAATTCTACAGATTGAATTTTAACGCTACTTTCGCCATCCTATTTTAACGCTGAAACAGCGAAAACGAAAATTTAAGACATCATCAGGGTAAAAGTAGGAGTTATTTTATTAGAACTGAAATTGAACCTATTTTACTATCTTAGCTTCTACTATGTTGTAGAATTAAAGGTAAGAGGTAAGGGTTCAATACAGGGTCAAAATTTCGACTCAGGTACCTTCTGCCGTTTCGTTTTCCACAAGTTGTGACGTTGTGACAACAAATTTCTGTGAAACTTTTGTGTGAAAAATAATCAATCGTGCCAATTAAAATTTCTAATTTCGATTCACAATTCAGAAAAAATTAGAGTTTTCAGTATAAGGTACACGGCATTCTATTCGGCCACGAAATTTTTGTTGAAGCCACTTCGTAGACAGAAGACGTTAAGAATATAGACGAGAAACATGAGAAAAAGGTTACGTGATACTTCCTCTTTTCTCTTTTCATTTTTTTTTTTTTGAAACGAGAATACGTCGCACGAGTGATAGAAGCCCGTTGGAAAGGTAAGCGATGCATACGTTGATGAGATCACAACTGGCGTCTGGCCAGCGAAGTGAAAAGTCACTGTTGACTTTTACTCGGGTTGATCGTTATTCCCCAAATATCCGACGAGCTAATCGTATAATCTTCGCGTAGCGAATCCAAATTCTACAGACTGTTTCAGAATCGGCGGAAAGCGGAACACAGCCCGGCATTTTTCGAGATTTCAGGAACACGTCTTTTTCTGAACGAACGAAACTCACGAAAAAAATACATTATCTTTCTCGTTCAGAAAAAAATCTCAATTCGTGCAACAGAATGAGATCCAGACAATTCTTTCGCGTAAGTCTTAATACTGATGTCTCGATTGATTGGATTGCAAATTAAAATTCTGTTAAAGTGAATATTAAACGACGATAAATATTTCATTATTTGACCACCGAAACTGCGATAAGCTCGAGAAAATATCGTGACGTTTATACTAGTCAAAATCTGCCAGAGGCACTACTGACGTAGCAGAGATAAGAGATTTGACGAGAATAAATATCGACTAAACTAACATTCGCCCCGCTTTTTTAATTGCAAGTCTCGTATCTACTCATTAACTATTCATGAAAGAAACTACGATAGGAGGAAGTTGTATAACGCAACTGATCAAAGTGAAAGATGGGCACTACGTAGGATCTACAATCAACATTCAAGAAAAAAAAATAACATGATACAATGCGAACGTACGTTCCTTGTTATTCACGCGCATTTAATCTAAGAAAAGGTGACAATACGGACAAACCGCTGTCGACACGGTGATCATCGTCGCGAGTCGAAATTTTGGCATTGTGTCAAACCACTAATTTTACAACATAGTAGATAAAATCTAAGATAGCAAAATAGGTTCAATCTCAATTCTAATAATATAACCTTCTACTTGGCCCTGATGGTGTCTTAAATTTTCGTTTTTGCTATTTCAGCGTCAAAATAGGTCATTGAAGGTAGCATATTAAAATTCAATCTGTGGAATTAAAGGTTCAAGAGAGATGTTAAAAAGTGTCAGTATCGTCAATATAGGTTTTTATTAGTCTATAGGCCGTCTAAGTAGGCGCAAATTGTCCTTAAGAGCGTCAGAGTAGCATCAAATTTCTCGTCCTCGCGATCCTCACGTAAATACGATACGCCTCCTCTCTCTAACGTATATCTAACTGTCCATAGAAGAGACGCGTACGAGCACCTAAGAAAGGGTAATGTATCGCGCGACCCAAACGACATTGTAACGTCATCTTCATTGATCGTTCAGTGGCCACGACGTCAAGCAACGTTCGTTGCCGGAACGTTGCGAGAGAGAGAGAGAGAGAGTGAACTGTTCACGTCCGTGAGCAAATTCGGTTACTTTACACGAGCTCGTCTTCAAGTCGTTCTGTAGAAAATACCCGCTATTTGCGAGTGCAAATAAACGTTTTACGAAGAGAATGCATTCTCAACTAATGCACAAAATGACACAGGCGGGGCGGTTTTTCCTCATCAAGAACCGAGATGATTTTCCCCCGTGCAACAATTTTAGGACCAGGCATCTCGCTTCCTCCGTATCAAAAGTCGAGATTCTATTAAGATAAAGTCAATCTAAAGAAATCATTCGGGAATTAAGGTTTCCTCATTAATTCGTATCCCCGAAATCCGATTATTTTCCGATCAATCTAGAACCGCTCACAGTTGGGAATTTTTTTAAGGGAAAGTTCATTTCAGTCTTCAACTAAGAACCACGTGCGCTAAATGCACCATATTATTCCACGTCACAAAGATCGGACGATAAAGAACTTCAAAGGGATAAAAAAAATTCGTGAAACTGTGGGCAGTTGTAAGTCGTAGAAAAGAACAGAAACATTCAAGTATACATCGTTCGCGTAATCGTTTTCACAACTGGTATCGCATGTTCCAGAGTGGTATATCTTTACGGAGAATGGACGAGGGAAGTGCTCACCTCGAAGACGGCTCTTCGTCGTCATATCTTAGCATAGTAAGACTTTCATTCAGCGCGTTCGCACCTCGTCGGTCGGAAGAAACCCTCGCCCTTCGCACGCCCCCTCGCGCACTCACAAGACGAAGCCGGTCGATAGGTCAGTCAGTCAATTAGCCAGTCAACAATCAATCGGCGACATTCTCCGCCGATCGCCGCTCCCGTCATCGTCGCGTCGGCATCGTGACATCGTGGAATTCCCAGCGGAAATTTTTCGCCCGCGGTTGAACGTCCTCACGCGCGTCTCGCTTTTTACGCCGGTTTTTCCTCAACCGCGCGCATTACCGATCATCCCTCGGGAACGAATTCCAGGTATTTCCGGCGCGCACTCGACGGCTAATTGAGCCGGCCCGGCGGCGGGGTCAGGGTCACAGGAAAGTCTTCGATCGGGTGGATCGACGATGCGCGGAAGAAGCGCTCGATTGAAGCGGAGAACAGACTTCTCCTCTTTCTTTTCGCGGCTTCTTTCGCAGGCGTGCGCGCTTCTCTCTCTCTCGCCGCGTTCGAATTTATTTTCTGCGCGCGCGGAGGAGAGCGAGCCGAAAGCGGCGCGTTTGCGTCACCGGTTATCGATACAATACAAAAGGTTCACCGACACTATCCGACAGCAGACGCGCCGTATGGAAAAAGCTCGCGACCTTGCGGCGCGACCATTCGATCAGAAGGAAAAGCGCGCAACAGCTTTGAGCGCCGCTCAATCGAGAGAGAGAGAGAGAGAGAGCCGTGTGTGTTCGAGGG